CTTCATATTGTTCCATGTATAATATGAAAACAGGATATTGTTCCAGGTATAATATGCAAACAGGAGTATCTAGAAAGCTGTGAGCCATCAAATTCTAAGCAAAAGTTCTAATTTAGACAGAAACTTTTAGACAGGAACTTTTTGCCCACCCAATTTATTCATCATTAGCATGTGTAATACTCCCTCCATCCCAAAAAAAGCCTCCCAATTGGGTTTGGCACAAAGTTTAAGAAAAAGTAAAATTGTGTGGTTGAAAGTGATGCAGAAAGAGAGAAAGATGTTGGGCCACACAAAATTTGCCAAAATGGAAAGAGGAGTCGTTTTTGGGACATCCCGAAAAGGAAATGAGGAGTCTTTTTTATGATAGAGGGAGTATATGTTATAGAAATACATTATTAAATTATTAACTCAAGTGTTTACTATGCTTTTTAAAATGATTTGCATTTACTTTTGGGATTGGGCTTGTGTAGATGGGTTGTATCTAATATCCCAATTTATTTAATTCAGTTTTTCTATACTTTCCATATTATAAGGCTCTGTTTGGAAACCAAGAAAATAACTGACTTCTGAAAGTCCTTTTCCGAGTTATCTGCTGTTTGGTAACCTCTAGAAGATAGTCAATGGAATTTGGGGCTCTGTTCAATGGAAAATCCCGTCTAAAATCTAAAAATTGACTTCCCCTTTAGAGTTCCGGAAGTCATTTTCCTTTTAGTTACTGGCTTCTTCCTCACCATCTTTCTTCCTCTCCTCTTCTCCATCGTTCTCCGATAGATCATTCTCATCCCACTATCCGTCTGCTCTTCACTACTCTGGTCCATTGGCCACCAGTCTACTATTCACTCTGGTAGTCTCCCTTAGCCTTGAACATCTTGTATCCTCACCAGAATAGGTAGCTATCCTCTTTCTCTTCTCATTAATCGGTAAATTTTTCCAATAATTTTTAACAAAATTTTTCTGCTACTGATTCATTTCTGTTGATTTTTCAAACAAAAAAATCTGCTAGGGTTTTTGTTTGATTTTTGCTTGAATCTTGCAGCGTTTAAGCTTGAATATCTCCTTACTCTGTAAAAACTTTCGCTTAATTTTTATGCTTAAAAATATTATTATACCCCTCAATTAACTTTACTATACTCTTAAAATCAAATTAAAGTTGGCATGGATGCGTGCAAGTTAGAATTGGGGTGGTATTATTCTATGAATTCAGATATTTTAAACAAAGGTTTTACAGTAGATATTTTAAACAAAGGTTTTACAGTAGTATTATGTCTTACAAGTTCCAATTTTAAAGAGCAGTTTGATTGAAGTACTATATTGGGATATTAGATACAACCCAACTACACAAGCCCAATCCCAAAAGTAATTGCAAACCATTTACAAAAGTACAGTAAACACTTGAGATAATAACTTAATACTGTAGTTCTATAACATATATTACACATGCTAATGATGAACAAATTAGGTGGGCATAAACTAAATGGGTATGACTAAATCCATCCCTTAAATGGTTATATCCACTCTTTCCACTCAAATTTTCTAAATCTACTCTTTCCACCCAAATTTGCTAAATCCACAATCTAGATGTAAAATATTAAATTTATAAGAGTGGGAGTCAATTAGCAAATTTGGATGAAGAGTGTGAATAAAGCCATTTTGGGAGTGGATTTAGTCTCGCCCAAATTATATTTCATAGCAACGCTTTATATTGATTACAAAAAAAAGTGCTATGAATGACGATTACCTCATTATCAGGTTGTAAACAAGATTGGAACATTACAAGGATAGTTTGTAGTGTCTTGAGTTGAAGACTCTCATCAGCCATTTCACCATGCTGTAAAACAAAATAGTTAATAAAAATGAATACAGTGTAACCGTGTAAGATTCAATATGTATA